AAGGTTCAGTCACTGCTGCTCCTGGGTGGGGGCATGGGGACACTGGGGGTCCCCCCTGTGCCACCCCCACAGCTGCAGCGGGGCCAGGGGGGGTTTGGTGTCGGGTTCAGGGTGCTGCCAGTGTGGGGAAATAGGGGGGGATTTATTACTGTTTATTTTTTTGTTCCACTGTTAACAACCGTCTGGTTTCCTATTTGCAGTTACTTGAATAAAACGTTTTATGGAATAAAAACGTTTGATGCTCTGCTCTGGGATGGAGGTGGGGTTGATGCTCTGCTCTGTGATTGAGCCTCCTGTGGGGTCTAGGATTGAGCCCCGTGTGGGTTCTGCCCATCACCAGCACTATTGTTATTACAGACAAACGTTTATTTGCTCCACTAAAGAAGCTTGGAGTGTCCTGACCCCACAAACACCATATAGGGCCAATAGGAGCCCGTGGGTGCTCCGTGGGTCTGCACCTGTCCCATAGCTCCAGTGCCTTCCTCACCCCGTCCCCAGTGCATTTATAGGGTTTTTAGGGTGGTTTCAACAAAAAGCAGCAGAAAAATGTGCAGGAAGGTGGCAGATGCCCCATTACCATCCGTGCTCATGGGGATGCTGGTGCTGCTCCCGGTGCTGTGCTGCCACTGCTGGGGGGAGCTGTGGGGTCCAGTCCTGCTCGAGGGCAGCCTCAAGCCCTCCAACCCCCACGGGAGCCCCAGGTGGGACCCATCTGCAGGGAAGGATGGAGAGCCCTGAGCCACCACAATGCAGCTGGTGGCCCAATAATACAACCCTCCAACCCCAAAATGCAGGTCATGGCCCCAAAACACAGCCTCCAACCCCAAAACACAGCTTCCCAGCCCTAAAATGTGCACTCTCACCTGGTGCTCCTCTGCCTCCACCAGCAGCTCATGCTCCGACTCCTGCAGCTCCTCAGCAGGGTCATAGCTGTACATGGGCAGCAGGCGGTGCCGCAGGCGCTCCGACCTGGTGTGGGGATGGGGCTGAGCAGGGATGAGGTGCAGAACCGGGGGTTTATGGGGTGGGGGTCCCCAGTCACTCACCTCCGCTTCTTCTGGACGTACATCACCTGTATGGGGAGCAGGACGGGGTGTGAGTGGGATATGGGGATAGGGGTGGTGTTGGGGATGGGAGGGGATTGGGGAATGGGTTGGAACTGGGGATGGGGACAGAGTTGGGGTTGGGGATGGGACTGGAGTTGAGGGTGGAGATAAGATTGGGGATAAGGTTGGGGTTGGGGTTGTGGATGGGGACAGGATTGTGGTTGAGGACTGGGAGAGAGTTGAGGATGGGCACGAGGTTGGGGATGGGGACGGGGACAGTGCTGAGGTTGGAGATGAGACTGGGGACAGGGTTAGGGATGGGAACAGGACTGGCACTGAGGATGGGAGAGTGTTGAGGATGGGAATGATGGGGTTGGGGATGGCACTGAGGATGGGAACAGAGTTGGGACGGAGGATGGACACAGGGATGGTTCTGAGATTGGAGATGAGATTGAGGACAGGGTTAAGGTTGAGAACTGGGACAGGGCTGGGGTTGGGGATGGGAACAGGATTGGGGCTGAGGATTAGGTGAGGGTTGAGAACTGGGACAGGGTTGGGGTTACAGATGGGGGTGGGGACAGGGTTGGGATTGGGGATGGAGATGAGGGTGGGGACGGGGACGGACTTAAACTTGGGCAAGGAGCCAGGAATGGGGTTGAGGATGAGATTGGGGATGGGGAAAGGGACGAGGTTGGGAAGGGAGACGAGGATGGGGACGGAGCTGGGGTTGGGGCTGGGGTCTGCCCGCACTCACCGCGGCCAGGACGGCGCCCAGCAGTGTGAGCAGCACGAAGGGGCCGAGCACGGAGCCCACCAACGAATCGCCCGCAGCGCCGGGAGCGCTGGGAGCCGTCGCGTTGCTCATGGCTGCGGCAGTGCGGTGACGGCTGCTCCCAACATGGGGACGGGTGGCACGAGGGGACGAGGCGGCCCCGGTAATGACGGCGTGGGGTGCGGGGGGGGGGGGGGGGGGACCGAGTTGGGGTTACGCAGCGCTCAGCCACGAGGACGCACCAGGAAGGGACAGCCGCGGGTTGCCGTCACCCCGTCCGCCCTCCCTGCGTGTGGCCCTACGGGAAGAACGGGCCGGAGATGGGAGGTGGGAGGGGGGGGAGGGTGAGCACCCGGGGGCTGCTGTGCTGCTCCCCCCAAAGAAATCCGGCCACGCACCGCCACCCCCCATCGCATCCCGCCCCGCTACGACACGGCACTGCAGAGCCCAACGCGGTTCCGCCCCCCGCCCCCCTCCAAGCTCTGCACCCCTCCGTGCTCCGTACCCCCCCGAGCGCTTTCCACACATTGCTCGCCCCGTGCGCCCCCCCCCCCCCCGCGCTCCCGCCCCGCCCCACCTGCGCGCACCGCCCGCACCCGGAACCCGCGCAGCGCGTGACAGCGGGGCGGGGCTTTTGGTGTTGGGGGCGTGGCTTAAACGTGGGCGCGGCTTTCCCGTGGAGGGGGCGTGGCTCTGAACGCGATGCAGTGCCGCCGCTCGGCCGCTAGGGGGCAGCAGAGACCGGGGGGGCCGTGAGGGATATGGGTGAAATAGAAAAGAATTCAAAAAAGGAAGAAGGGGGAAAGGAAGGAAAAGAATGGGCCAAAAGGGGACAGGGACGGCATGGAACTTGGGGTTCCAGCCCTCCCTGGAGACATGCCCTGCTGTGGGATGCCAAAACCCGTTGCTTTAGTGGGAAGGGGCAGGGCTGGATTGCCCCCATGCTGCGAGGCTCCTCCAGTGTCCCGTTGTCCCCAGTCCCAGTCATCCCGGTGTCCCCTGCAGTGCTGGTGGCAGTGTTGCCTTCACTGGTCCCACTGTTTCTGTTGCCTCCCCTTGGCCCCCAAAGGTCCTCTCCAATTGGAACAGAGGAAATGGATCAGGCCAGGATGCTCAGGGGAAGGGGAACCATCACCCCCAAAACCCTGCTGCACAGCTCACCCCATGGGGCCCACCGTACCCCATACATCCTCTGCATCCCCAAATCCCAAATCACACATCCCATACATCCCAAACCACACATCCCATGTCTTTCCCAAACCAGCCTCAGCCCTGCTCCCACATCAGCAGCCATGGGAGCCTCCTGCTCGTTGCTTCTCCCACCCCCCAGCCTGACATTGCTGCACCTAAAAATAAGATCTGCAGTTTCTAGGAAAGTTCCTTGGAGAGAGTGAGCAAGCACGAGGGCTGGGGGAGCACAGGGGCTGCTCAGCCCCGAGGAAATCACCCTTAGCCCCAACCAGAAACATCAGGCAGCAGAACGAGAGCATCACCACCGCCAGCTTTGGGGCACAGCCCCTTTGTGACCAGGGGGCACCGAGCAGAGTGAGCAGACCTGCAGCAGAGAGCAGCAGCAGAGCCAACAGGCTGCTCTGCTCCCAAAGGTGCAGCAGAATGCACAGCAGCCCCTCCTCCCTGCTGCTGCCATCCTTACCCCTCCCATATGTGCTCACAGCATCTCTGCAACTCGCGTCTCTGATGGGCAATATCAGAAAATTAACGTCACCCAAAGTCACCTTTGGCTTTCCAAAGGAGCTCCATCATTGTGCTGTTCGTCTGCCAGGCTGTGGATGGACCAGCAGCGTGATGCCACACCTGGAACAGAGTCCTGTGCAGACACAGTGCTGAACAGCCAGTGATTAACATCAGTGAGGGTGGATACAGGGTGCTGCTGGTGCTCTGCATCCCTGCAGCAGAAGCAGAAGGTCATTTCCACCTGTGGGCTTTGCAGCACGGCTGTGAGCAGCTTATGAGCACTGCCAACACTCCTGCTGCACAATTCAAGGCTGGAAATGTCCAAGTGAGACCATTCCTTGCAGCTCACCCCAATCCTACAGCACAGTCCCCTCTGCATGGAACCTGAAGGGCTCTCACCTATTTCAGCATTTGCTCCTCCAAATCCCAGACACAGCAAGGGGCAGCAGGAAGGGCTCTTCCCTATGGTCCCTCTGCCCCATCCCCACAGGTGCACATGAAGACAAGAGACCAGGCAGCAAGCAGAGCTGTGTGAAATATGGGTGTTTATTGGTTGGCACTGAGTTACAGCCTACACACTCGTCCAACTCGCATCCAGCTTTTTGTCGAGTGGGGTATTTTTTGTTTGTTTGTTTGTTTTTCATTATTATATTTTCCTTCCCCAGCACACACAGGGGTGCAGGCAGCCCTGCACTGAGTGCTGTGCATGGTACAGCTGGATAGAGCCAACACCCAGCACACAGCTCACCCCAAAAGCAGCACTGGGTTGCATGGGATGCGTGGAGATCTCTGCTCTCCCTGGAAGCCCTGCAGATGGAAAGATCAAAATCTCATAGGTTGATGCTAAACTTGCTAGCCGGCTCTGAGCAGGAAGGAAGGAGAACGTCTGTGTTATTGGTAGGCTCCAACTAAGAGCTGACCCTCTAGGAAAACCTAACCAGAATTTTAGTTGTAATAACAACGAGTCCAAGTCAGTAAGAAAGAGAAACGCAAGGTTGCCAAAGCGTCCTTGCAGTCATAAAGTGTTTTTGCAAACCATTTTCACTTAATATATCATAAACTTAGAAACACAAAGCACAGGGGTGAGGAACAAAACTCTGCAGCGAGAAAAACCCAACGGATGATGGGAATTAAATATCCAAGTTCATCTGGGATTCATGGAGAACGCAGTGCTGATGATTCACTGGAGACCTCAGGCTGCTTTCAGCTCTCCTAGCTTTGCTCCCTACATCAGTTTGACATTTCCACCTGAAGCCAACAGCCCTTCACTGGCACCTCGCAGCTGAAAGCATTGATTTGCACAGGGCAGGAGCACCTGGAGCGATGCTGACTGCACTCTGCCACTGCAATTCTGCAGCCCCAGCCCAGACCCAGAGCCCTGAATGAGTTGGAAGTGTCTGCAGTGTTTAAACCTCATCCCCTGGGAACAGAGAGGCCAGGAGCTGGGTGAGAGCAGGCAGCCCTGGGGGTGTCGTGGTTATAGAGGCAATGGAACAGGCTGACAGCTGCTCACACGTACTGGCATCTGGCTGGTACAATGGCATTCCCTGGGTATTGATCCCACTGCCACGCTATGGGCTCTGCTCTCTGCTCAGGGATGCTGCCAGCACTGGGTGCAGAGCTCAGAAGACTAAGTGGAACTGCAAGGCAGTGGTTCCAAGCCTCCCAACTCGGTGAATACAAAATAGGACATACAAGATGTTCAGCAAACACTCCTGAACCTCCTGAGATTCCTTTCTGAGCTGATTTCTCAAAAGTAACATCAACATTCCCCATTTCCCTCCCCCTCCCCCCCCCCCCCCCCCCCCCCAAGAAAAACAAAACCAAAACCACCCCCGGCCCACTAGCACCAAGAAGAGATTTGATAAAACCCCCCAAAGACATCTTCAATCCAGCTAAGTGCTCTTTTACACCCACCTACACCTTTTAATTACGTACAGAGCTCAGGACAGCACAGCCACCACAGCACGGCACCTTTCCATTCACCTCCCACCACCAGACTGCACCCAAGCTCACCCCAGCAGCGACAGAACCGAGGACAGATGCAGGTGTTACAGTCAGACAAGATGGGAACACAGCAGCAGCGAGGCCACCTGCACCCCAAAGCCCACACAGCCACTAGATGATGCTGTGCCATTAAGCGGGGAGAGCGGAGCAGAGCAGGGAATGGAAGTGAGGATTCCTGACATTCCCTACCCACATTTTTAGCCACTGAATGCTTCGGGTCTGCACGAGAGGAAAAGCCACGCTCCAGCAGATTCCACCTCCTTTGCATTTTTCAGTTTAAGGAGTTTGCTTTAAGGCACATCTGAGATCACACTGAGTTGCACTGCCTTCTTGCTCAACAGAAACCTTGCTGCAAAGAGCCCACAGCGCACCCCTGCCTGGCAGCAAAGCTGATGTTCATGGCTGCCGTTCCTTTCCTCCTGCTTTCCCCTGCAGCAAGGGGAATGCAGGCACTGCAATGGGTGCTGGCTGCACAGCTCCATGCCCACATCAGGCAGCACTTCTCTTCTGCTCTTACAGAATGCCCCTCTGCTGCTAAGCTGGAATCAAACCGATGTAAGAAGGAACCACATACTGCAAATGGAAGAGAAACAGCTCCCAGAGACTCAGATATGCAGTCGCCTGTCTGTGCCACCGTCCTATTGCAAAGCAAGAAGAGAGATTTGATCTGGGGACAGCCCTGAAGAGGCTCCATTTCTCTGTGCATCTGATCCTTCCTCAGAGCAGAACAGCTTGGTTAAATCCCTGCAGGTCTTCCACCAAGAGAACCCACAGACACTCCCAACTTCTTCCTGCATCTTAAACTCACGGTGCAGGATTAAGGGATGGGGACAGAAAGAGCAAAGCTCTAACAAGCCAGGTGCTCTCCCCCCCAGCTGATCCCAGCAGCAGCTTTAAGAGACCCATAATGAAGTACCTCTCCACCTCCAAAGGTCACGTTCCATCCTTCCATCAGGTTTTAATTAGCTACTGGTGAACTGAGTTTATCAGTAATGCCAGCCTACAGCTTCAGCTCTGCTTAAATGCATTAAGCGAAGTTAGCTAGCTGACCATCAGAACTCCCCATCCACCTTTTTGCTAAAGGTGACCCAACCAACATTATTTTCGTTTGCAAAGTTGAGAGCAACCCTGAGCACCACTCAGCCAGGCCACGTGCCCAGCGTGGCAAATGCCAAGCATCCCTGTTTGGAAGCTGTTGCAATGCCAAGGAAAGCAGCACGGCATTCTGAGCTCCAGCTGCCCGCAGGACAGCACAGAACAGCTCTGCTGAGGACACGGCCATCAGATAAAGGAGGTGCAAACCTCCCTGCCATCTGCTAGCACTGAGCTTCCCCATCACCAATGAACTATTGTGTGAAACCCAACAGTCCATCTTTGTGCAGCGACCAGAAGTACTCCAGCAGCACTGAATGCCAGATTTCAGGAACAATGGAGAACCAGCCTCGCTTAACCCCTTCCTGGCCACCTCCAAGGGCAGCATCTTCCCCTCTGGTGTCTTTGCAATTGCCCTCAGCCTCTCTCACACACCAGCAGCCACAGCCATGGGGCACATCTATCACATCCCATGTGGTGAGGCTTCTCCATGGAAGAGAGAATGTCTCTCGTGTTATTTTCAATTGAAATAGTTCTTTCCTTTTAAACTTGCCCTTGGAAGGCCCCACAGAGCTAAATCCGAATCTGAAACCAAGCAATCATTTTACAGCCACAACTCCAGGAGTCTCACACTGTACGTTTGCTACCGCATCGTTTCCAAACTCCCACTGATCTGTGCACAGAAATTACCCTCCCACCATTCCAAAACCCCATCAGAGAGGTTTCCTACAGCCCGACAGTGGGGCAGTTTTGACCCCAATGAGTTTAATTACATTTGGAACTCCTCCACACAGGGACATCCACCTCCTCGGGTGTGTTAAGCCTCAGGTAAAGCCATTAGAGCAGCACTGGGGCTGACCAGTACCTTCTGGAACAGCCAAGCAGCACTGGAAGGTGTCTTTTTCCTGCTCTGATGTCAGAGTCCATAGAACAGAACAAATAGCAGCAAACCCATTGGTTGGCATCAGCTTAGCCTTGCATGCTGCTGCAGCAGCAGTAATCCAGGCTGCCCTGTCAGATGAGCCAGCACTGTGTTCGTATTTGGGGTTTAAGGGATAATCACGCTAAGCAGAGGTGTCTAAGTGCCAAATGCACTTCCCTTCTCCATTAAGGTCCCAAATACATCTATAAATCCAGATGGGAGGATGCAAGTCACTGACACCAGGATTTAATTCTGACAAGACCAGAGGAAGTGACTCAATGCCAAAACTGGGAACTCCTCCCATAGAGAAGCCCTCTATTCCACACAGCACACCTCCCCTTTACTGCCACCGCATCACTGACCCCACAACCCCGAGGTGTCACTCAGGGCACAGAGCACCCCAGTTCTGAAGCATCCCAAGAGCCAGGCATTTTGCACACGTTCTCCCCTCTTCCTTGCCTCTCAGCGTGCAAAGCATCCTCACGTGCACAATGCATAGGTACAGCACAGATAGCAATGAGGGAGAAAGGAATATTGTAGTGAAGAAGCTGCAGAGGACACTGGAAGTTTTGCTTCCAGCAGCCCATCACCCAAAGGCGTGATGAGGGATTGAGCCACACTGAGCTGAAGCTGGTGCATCACAAACAGGGCTGGCATTTACCTGAGCACTGCTTTCAGCAAACCAGGCAGGTGAATCCTGCAGCTTTGGGGTGACTTGATGAATTTGCAGCAAACTTGCAGGTTGTCTGAACGAGGCATTGCTTTTGCTAGAGAACACCTACAGCTACACCAGTGCCAAACTTCCGCAGCTATGCAGAAAGCCAAGCAAAGAATATTACTCTTGAACAGGAAGCTGAGACACGTTGTAATGACAGGTTTATAATGCTAGGCTTAAGGGGTCAGTCCAGACACGACATAGTTCGAGGTAACAATTCCACTAGCTCAAAATAGCACCAGTTCTAGCAAGGCTGGGAGCCTGAGCCCAACCCTCCAGGTTGCACGTGGTGGGGTTTTAGCAGCGCTCACAATACCAGCCCTGTGCACTTCCACCATCTCCCCTCCAAACCCAGGGAGCCACTTTCAAAACAGCTCCTTAACGACTCACTGAGCGAGGCAGTTCGACTGTGGATCTCAAACCAATTCAGCACAATTTAGGCAGAGCCTCCCTAGCATGCAATGCAGCTCCACCAGTTACTACAAAAGATCTCAGATGCTGAGGAAGATGGGAATTTGTAGGTGGAACAAGACTAAGCCCTGTTCCCAACTCCACATCTGTTGAATAAAAGCTTTTTCTGCCCCAGGAGCTAATTCCAGTTCAGAAGGCATAATATCAGCCACTCCATGTTACTGTGTTAACAGCATCAATTCATGCCACATTAGAACACTTTCTTGGCACAATTTATTTTTCTGACCCAAACAAATAAGCCATTAGCAAGTCATTAACAATTTTCTACCCTAAATTGTCAGTTTAACAGCCCTGTTAAAAACATTTTTTAGTTTATAAACAAAAAGTGTGCATGCTGTTGATATTAAAACTGCAATTACTCTTTCAGGAATACCAGCTGTTTTGTTGCAAAGCATTCTCCACATACTGATCTGTACAGTAAGACAAGAACTCAATTGAAGGCAGTAGATGGCTGTGTTAGGTGCCACTCAGGGCTCGGTAACAGCAGACTGCTGGAATCCTTGTACACTCCCAAAGACAAGATTGAAGCCCTTGTGAGAGTTTGGTTCAGACCCATCAGCAGAGAGTAGGACAGTATTGTACATTCGTCTCTAAGTTGAAGTGAACTGAACTGGTGTAATTCAGGCTCCATTCCAGGCTACTCCTTGAATAATGCCTCTCAGCTTTTTCTTATGCATGGTTTTTCATGTCAGCAATCACTGGCACTGCTTTTGGCCTGGCTACCCCACATCGATGAAAGCAGGGAGAACAAGTACAGGAACAGAATAGGATCTGAAAATGAACAGCTTCTTGCCAAAGCAGCAAGGATACCATTCCCCCTTGTCCCAGGCTCCATGGATATTTCTATCAGATTTTCATATGTTAAGCGCTTCTTGGGAAGAGAGAAAACTCTGAACAGTGAGTATTTATTAGAATATTTTTTTGTTAAATAAAGAGGAAAAAAAAAAAAAAAAAGAGTACTGCAGATTTAATTTCACATCTTGGCTATGTTCTGACAAAAGAGAAGTTACTGATTTCAGCAACTGCTTCTTGTCCCAAGCCAGGGATTAATTAATGCCCCTCCCAAAAGTTGTACCTGTCCCAACCCACCCCCAGCCCCAACCCTTCCCATTTTATTTCCCAACTAGACAACACTGTTGGCAAATCAAGACAGCATGAAACTTACATCAATAAAAACAGAACAACGAAAAAAAAAAAGTGAAGTGTGCCAATGCATCAAGGAAGCTATCCTATCAACGGTGTACTTCTCCAACTAGCAATTCTGCTCGGGAGTCAGCTGTACCTTTCATGGAGGGAGAGCTTAAACATTCTGAATGTGCTCCATGGTGCAACTGCGAGTGCTGCAGAACCACAGGACAAGAGATTGGACACCTCAATTTTTCCCCCGGGCTTCTTCTCAAAGATATACATGGTTATCCAGCCAAGGGTTGGCGCAGCAACACTCAGTAAGTACAATCCGATGCTTTAGCACAAATTAGGATATCCAGTTCAGCACGGTATAAGGCATGTGGACAAGAAGAGACATCAGCAGAATGCAGCAGGATCAGCAGAACAGCATTGGTGATTGACACTCCAGTTTGTCAGACTTTGAACCCCCTCTGAATCCCTGCTTCCTACCACAGACAGTGACATTTGTTTCCTACCGTAGCGTTTCTGAGGCTATTCACTTTTGGCCAAGCCTTAAAAGACCAACTCTTTTTGTTTCATTTTGATGTGAAAGCAGAAACGGCGGCAGAAGCTGCAGGAGAAGCAACTGAGCAGCAGGGATGTCTGCAGGTGATCAAAACTCTGCCCTCAACTTCAAGAGTCACTGCACCAAATGGGGAGTTGCTGAATGGGGAGTAAACTGGCCCAGCCACTAGCACTGTCACAGAACATGTATTTTTAGAGAAAAAACAAAACAAAAGGCAAACAGATTAATTATGAACCCTTCTTTTCAGAAGCAGACCAGGATTAAAAAAAAAAATTAAAATGTTAGATTCTCCATCTAAAAAAAAAAAATGTTGTTTATGTACATGTGCTGAAAGTGACCGCCACGCAGGTCCAAACAGCACCTTACAGTACAGACTAAGACTTAAAGAGCTGATCTCACATTTGAAGTCTTTTAATTAAAAAAAAAAAAAGTGGCTATGGCTGGGATGACACAAATGGGACACTTCAGAACACAAGGCAGAGGCAAAACTGGCAGCCTCACTCGCCAGGCAATGGAAGCGGTGTAACGGGAAAGGGGCACTTCATGCACAAAATGTATTTTACAAAATACATATCCAAAAAAGCAAAAAACAACAACAAAAAAAAAGCCAACAACAACAAAAAAAAATCCCACCTTGCACTAAATTGCAGCACTCTTAACACTTGCTCTGCCACAGGCTGCTGCCCATGCCTTATTTGATAGAGGAGGCATGTGAAAAAGGGGGGGGGGGGGAAATCCATATTTCAGTCTGTTTTTCAAAATCTCTCACACAGGGACGTCCTCAGTCATCTGATGTCAGACACAGAGCCCTCAGAGTATGTCGTGGTCATGACTGGAGTGCCGTTGTTTGCCAAGCAGCCTTGCCTCAAGGTTTCAAAATATGAGGCTTGCACTGGTTTGTGATACTGCAGAACTTTGATGGCATCTTCTATCTTAAACCATTCCCTTTTCCTTCCTGCAGGCAAAAAAGAAAAATCAGTAGGTGCAGCAAAATGATGTTACCTTTCTATGTTTAAGAAAGCTGCTGAATAGCTTTCAGCCATCACGTGCACATGCTGCAGGAACAGTTGCAGCCTGTAACACAGCAGCAGTGCAAAAGACACCAGGATGCATTTGCTGCTCAAGTCAGAAATCATTTTAGGACGATCCGCAACACTTCAACCACCAGCCAACTTTGGTGAATTGGCAAGTGAACCTCAGTGCTCATTCCCTGCTCTTTCAGTAAAAGCAGTAAGGACACAGCCTAAAGAAATCAGCTTACAGGTGCTACAGTGCTATTGGCAAACACTGCGAGGAACAACAGGCTCATTTTCATTTATGAATCTGATTTAAATGCAAAGATTTCAAAAGAAAATAGAGAATGATTAATCCACACTGCCCACATACATTTTCTTCTAATTTTAGGAAGGAAAGCTCTTCATGCTTTGTGCCTGGTGCAGGAATTAAACACAGCACTGCTGTACAGGCAGCTGCATGGCTGAAATGAGTTCTCCCAGGCCACAGAGCCAACTATTTGATCACCTTTTTTTTTTTTTTTTTTCCCCAACCAACCAAACTTACCAATATTGACAGAGTCCTCCCAGTCTTCCAACACTTCTGTGACAATAAGTACGTAAACATATGTCCTGTGTTTCCTGTCCCGATTCTGGAAGGCAAAGTGAACAGAACAATGACAAAATGATCAGAAGAGAAAAGGCAGTGGGCACACAGGGCAAGGCAGCTACACATTATATGCTGCAGCTGGGATGCTATGGTGCATGATGGGCTGCTTCCCTCACTTAACAATTAGTTTTTAGCTACTAAACAATACTGCATCTTAAATGAAAGGTCTGGAAGTACCTACAGGGGCAGCAGACAAAAAAAAAACAGTCTAGTTCCTAATGTCTAAAAGAGTTTCTCTGTGGTACCCCCTGCCCACACATCTCAGTGCCCCTGTGTTTCTGCTCTCCTGCTGGGGGCACTCACACCTCTCCACATCACTTTGGGAAATGCTTACAGTGGGTGCTCATGACTGGTTGGTGTTTTGGGGGCACCGAGGAAGGGATGAAGGCACTGAGAAGATTCAGCATTGTGCTGGCTTGTCACTGCTAATTCCAAATGAAGCAGAAATCACTGGTGAGCAATGCCACCAAAAAGATCAGCATATATATATATATATATATATATATATATAAAAATTGAGGAACTTTGAGCCTTTCTTCAAACAAGTCACCCACCTTACTTCACGACAAACTGGGAAGTTTGACTATTACTCCAAGAGGATTTTATTCAACCAAACTTTCCAGCCCTAAACTGTGTCTGAAACTTACCTCAAAAATTCCCACCAATCTTCCTAATGTCCCTTTCACTCCAGCCTAGGAAAGTTGAAAGGAAAAAAGAAGGGCTTTAACAACAGGTCAGTACGTATTTCCCCATTTGTTGTGCAGGAGCAGCTCCTTTAGAACAAGCAGCAAATGCTGTAATTCAGTTAATGGTCACAAAATAAATTATACAAATGTTTTGTGAGCTCCAACCATGCATGCATTCCCAGCATTTCTTCCCTTCTTTTTCTGTACTCAAATATTTTTTGTTTCTTAATTCAATCTGGAGGAAAACAAAAAAAACAAAGACTCTTTATTAATTGCACATCAATACATCCTGAATTCCTACCAGAACCTTCTCTAAAGGTTGCTACAGCCTGAACACAGACAAAAATCGCTTAGGGGCTTAGCAGTTTTACCTTTTTAGAATTATAGCTTAAGAAAATAACTTCAAAGCACGAGTCAGACATCCACTTACAGCACCAAAGCAATGTGACATCTCTGAGGTATTTCAGGGATGTCCTCCATCCGTTTGAAGCAAGCTGCAGCAAACATAAAACACCTTCCAAGTTGTAACATGGCCTCCACAACAGGAACAAGAGTATTTTTGATATACCACAAAGCACAGGTGCACATTGAAGGGGGATTTCTGAATTAAAAGCTGGGACAATGAGGAGAGATCTAAGCAACAGTTGTGCCTTACACACTGAGCATCCACCTTCATCTGGTCTGCTGTTCATACATCCACGCGCTGCTGGGGCTCTGAGTGTATGAATGCAAAATGCCACCCCACTCCCCTGCCCCCAGAGCCCTCCTCTTCCCATAACACACGCTCCTTTTTATGACTGTAAATGATTGGAATTCAAGTGCTACAGATGAGGTGGGATTTTACTCCGGGACTTAATTGGTGTGAAACAACACGCACAGCATGGCACACAACCCAGCCACGTTTGGAAGGTAAACTGAGCTGCCAGGCCTGGCAGCTGGAGCACATGGTGAGCAGTGCAGCAAAGCAGTGCCTCTGCTCCTGCAGCACCAATACAGCGGCCTGAGTTAGCCAGGCCGAGGGTTTCTTTAGGGAAAGGTATTCAGGAGAGGGGAGTTACATATTTAAATATTTAATAATTACACAAACTGTCCTGAGCAGCTGGGATACTGTTCTGTGCTTGTTCAGCTACTACTCTGTTGCTGCAGTCACATGCTTCTGGAAAGGAGGACCTCTCATTAATTAGGAGCCAAGTGCTTCAGATCCCGGCCCATACTGAACCAAAACAGAGCAAACAGCACTGCTGCTCCCACAGCTGCTGGTGGAGCTGCCCCAAAGGAACCAAGGGCTTTGTAGCTCCCACCACCCCAGGAACACCTGAAACCCGAATTCTTTCCATCACACACTCTCTGAGCTCAACTAATAGGAAGCAGCATTTCAATTCAATCTCCTACATTGGTTTTGGATACGAAATTTATTGTCTCATCAGTATTTCTGACATTCTGTCTGGCCCAGAGGTGGGTCACTGGCTATTAACCACAAAGCTATTTCTGGAGTCAAAGAGCAATTCCATGAAGGTCACCGTTCACATGCATGCACTCAGCATGGCTAGCACAGAGAACTCATGCTGACCTTTGCAGATGAGCAGTTCTACCTCATCTGAAGAGCTGCTGCTGCTAACCTGGACTAATGGCTCTCAGGAGTGAACCAGACAGCAAACACTTCGAAAGGATCTCATTCCAAGGAGGAAACTCCTTTGGCAATCTCAAATGGTGGCTTTATTTTATTTAGATAAGCAGCCCTATCATTCAGCCAGCAGGAAGGAAGCGAAGGACAGAAGGCTTCCATGCTCACAACATAAATACATCCAAAGATGAAGTGCAATCAAATGGGATAGGTAAATCAAGGACTTAAGCCAATTTTCTCCACTTGCTCCTGGAGGAGATTACTGAATGACTGCTCTCCTTCCCTACCTGCAGAGGCACTGAATGGAGAGCCAGGGTTGTTCTTGTCTGCTCTCCAACCTGACTGAGAACAAATACATCTCCAATCAGCCACACAGACAGGAAACTAAGCAAGAGCACTGCACTGCCAAGCAGCCTATGCCCAGCTCTGACAGCATGCTTGCACTAACACAGGCAGGCATGGGGCCCTTCCTTTTGTTCTGGTGAAGCAAAGAGGTATCCCAAGTAACACTCAGTCCACAAACCAACATCCTTCTTCTCTACTAAGCCTGGACTTACTCATTCAAATGGCACAAAACCATGACTCCAAGCAAAGGTGCTGTAGGAAAACCACACTGAATTATTGTTAGGCAACAGAAAGAAGTGCCAAGGCTTCCTTTGTCTGTAAGTTTATCGCATGCAAATGGTGATATGAGTACTATGATTCAATCAAACATTACGCTGGCCATAACCAAAGTGAGAAATGGTAAAGCCTTGAAGACTGCAAAGCACATTGACCGTGAAATCTTTCAGTCCAATGACTCTCACCCAACTTTACAGGTACTGTAAATACTGACATCACAGTAAGATACCTTAGCTGCTACCCCCAGCAAAGAAAGCTAGGTCATGACAGAACTTCCAGGCTCCTCTTCGGGCTTCTATGGGGACCAACCCCTCTGCACCTTCCCCCCCGATCCCTGCTGCATGGTGATGAGCATTTTCTTGGAAAGGTAGAGCCCAGCCACAGGCTCACCCAGGACTGGCGCTGGATCTCAGCCTTAATTTGCACCAGATGACTCCGGAATTTTCTCCTTGGTAGTAACTGGATTGAGAACCACGGGCTGCAGCAGTGTGTCTGGCAGCAGCAGCACGAGTTATTTGGGCCTGTGTTCCCCCCTCCCCAAGCATTAGCAGTGCTGCAAGCCCCAGAGCACACACTTGCGCAAGAAGGACGCTACTAAACCCATCAGAGGCAGAAAAGCCCCAGCACTGTGTTCCATCTGCAGGGCTGAGAGCACAGCTCCACTGAGCAGCAGAGCTCCCCAGGCAAGGGTGGTCAGCAGGCTGGCAGTTCAGGCTCCTCATTCTCTGCTCCATGCATCCAGCAGACCCAAACCAGTTTGCAATGCCTAAGGTAGTCCTAACTGGAAGGCAGCCTTAGCAGGAGCGTGGCCCCACCAGCAGCACACAGCTGCCCCAAACCAGCACATGGCAGGGATGGGCTGGGCACCCAGGACAAGCAAAAAATGGGGAAGAAATGAAGTTTTACTCTGCTGCTCATGGAACAACTTGTTTGAATAAAGAAAAATTATCGAAGACATCCAAGAACAGCAGGTTCAGGTTTCAAAGCTGAAAATAAGTTCGGGTCAAATGCAAAAAGCAGCCTGCAGCAACACCATCTGTTCCTAGGGACAGCTTTTATTTCCTTCCATCTGAGCTAAGGAAAATGTGGGTTGGAATTTCAGCTATTTTACTTTGCTCTATTAGGCTCAAAGCCTGCATCTACTATAGATCACTGCTGGGCAAGAGGACTGTGGTAAAACACCCAAATCTCTAATGCTTGCAGTACTGAAGGCAGTAAATCACACCCATAAGGGCTGCTAGCTTAGACAAGTTCTGAAGACACCAATTATACAGCAGCTAGGCAAGTTTTCTTGCTGTCTTCATTGTGTCTCAGAGAGGGTTATATTTAACTAATTCTTTCCTGCATTACAACTGATGCATACCTCTGCAGTTATAAAATACCACAAGAGTAAAGAATTCCCATGCATTACACTCATGAGTTTTGAGCACATAAGGTGATAGACAAGCTGGTCTGCTATTTGCACAGAGTATTACTAAATCTATGAAGAGCTCACAGCTATCACACCTCATTTGTTCACAACCCCTGCCATGATATTTCAGATAAAACACAGGGCTTCCTATGCTGAAAGACATAATTATTGCATCCTAAATCACTCAAAGAACACATGAAACTGAAAAGATTGCTTATAAGCCATCTTTGAGAGGGAAACTACTGTCCAGCAACCAGATCACAGTGCTGGAAGATGGACTATTTCTGATACCATCATCCATTGTCTGTTTGATCACAGATAAAGCACAGCTTATCTTTCTTTTGCTCCCCATGAAGAAAGCATGACCAACACTTCTGTAATTTTATAGAACTTGACATTTACTCAGTATTTAAAGGTCAGGATGTGAAAGATGCTATAAGTGCAGAATTAAATGCCTTTGGGTTTAACAGATGAATGTGGAGGCTTTCTTCAAAGTCACTCCATAATAAGTTTAATTTAAGGCAGCTATTTCTAAAACATGTTCTTCACCAGTTGCTCACACCCATGAAAAGCCCTTATTCCCAACATGACATTCATTTTGAGGAGAGAATGCAACAGCAGAGAGAAACTAAATCCAAGAAGGAAGAAGCCAAGACCACACTATGTTGGTGATAATTAGTACTTTAAAAGGCCATGTAATTTTTCAAAAGGGGAACCTGAGAACACACCTGGAGCTCACACTGTGTGGGCGACTGGCTGCAGCGTGCCAGAAGGGTGGGTAGTGATAGGACAAGGGGGAATGGTTTTAAACGGAGACAGGGGAGGTGTAGGTTAGATATTTGGGGGAAGTTTTCCACCCAGAGGCTGGTGAGGCACTGGAACAGGTTGCCCAAGGAGGTTGTGGATGCCCCATCCCTGCAGGCATTCAAGGCCAGGCTGGATGTGGCTCTGGGCAGCCTGGGCTGCTGGTTGGCGACCTGCACACAGCAGGGGGTTGGAACTGGGTGAGCTTTGTGCTCCTTTGCAACCCAGGCAATCATTCTATGATAAGTAAGGGGCTCACTCTGAAAGATGGCTCTCATTCAGAGCTGGAGTGCTCATCTGCTGCCACTCTGCCTAAAGAGCTCCGTCACTTTGCATTGCATGCAGACAACGGTAAGCGTGACAAGTGTTGGTACCTGTCTGCTTTAATACATCTGCTGGGACAGATTAATACGGAGAGTCCTTATGTAAACTAGGACAAGGACTTGAACTCAAACTGGGACAAAGGGATGGCAGATTTCACTCAATCAAAGCCTCATTTTTCTAAGAGCCATTCTGAAATGCTGAAAACTGGAAAGAGAGAGACGTCTGATTGCTCAAACACATCCATGATGGAATTAAAACACAGAATGTACAAGTTACAATTCTTCATTTAGGGAAGCATATTTTAAAAAAGAAAATGCATACCATGCAAAAAAATGGCTGAGTTGAGAAAAACCAGTCCATTGTCATCTACAGAGACCACAACTGAAAGGGGGTTGAGTCCTTCCAGCTCTTCCAAATGGCTCTTATTAAAAAGGAAAAGGCATACCAACATCAGCAAATGCAAGTCTGCAAATTTCCTCCATGACTGCTCAGCACACAAGCCACCTTCCTGCAGGATAACCACTGCTGTGTGCACACAGCACAGGGAACACTGTTTTCTCTCTCCTAATGCAGGCAGTGGGAGCTGCTCAGCCGACCTGCTGCCTCTCCATGACCTGTCCCAGGAGAGGAGCAAAGGCAGCAAACCTGCACAGAAAGCAGTCTCAGCTGCAACCCACACACACAGAAAAAGCTGAAATTCACATGAAAGGATGAACAAGGATTAGCAGCCTAATTCTCACCAGCAAGTTCCAGCTAGCACAGCTAGCACGCACACCAGTTGCCCAGCAAGCAGCCTCCTAAAACACTGCCCCTGCCACATCAGCAGTGCAGGCTGCACGAGTCCTTAACAGCACAAGTGTAGCAATCATTTCCCTCTCACATGCACATTCCCCAGCAACATTTTACAGTAAACAGCTCACTGAGCCCAAGGCAGTTGATATACATTCTAATTTGGTGTACATATTGCGAGCAGGGTGCTGGAACACAAACAGATTTGAGGAAGGCCTTATAAGCCTAGAAGCTGCCCTGTGTTTTTCAGCTGGTCTGACCATCACTGCAGGAGTGCTCAGGTAATTTTATCCACACAACAGGCCTGCAGGAGAGCCCTTACCACCGCATGGCACCAACAGGACAGGCTGTGGCAGAGGTTAGCACCTCTGCTAGGCATCCTGCAGCTTTCTGAGCTCGCTGTGTTTACTGTTTGTTGTGCAGCATTCGAGCACATAGGTGGTTTGCTGGGAATGACTCAACCCTGCCAGGCTGCCACAGTTTGAATTACACCCTCATTCGGCACCAGTCCACGTGAGCGAGGGAACACCAGCTGAGTGAGAGGGGATTATCTCAGCCAGCCCAAACCAGTTCCTTCTCTGCAGATTGAGTCCATGCCAAGGCTTCCTTTCAACCACTGAGCTGTCATGGAAAGAGAGCAACTCTTCCAAGCTTCGCTGCCTGAGAAAGGGAGGGTCGATACAGATTTATTTTAGGGATTTGAAAGGCGAAGCCACGCATCTCCTGAATGAACCTTTGACTTCTGTATCAAATAACTTCATAATTAATAATGATTAGGTTGTAAAGCAGGACTCTGCAGCTAAAAATATTCCCGTTGTTCTGGTTAAACTCACTTTGGCTCGTATTTGAAAGATTAACGAGTTCCTAAAAAAGCAAGAGCTGTACTACAGGCTGGAAACAAAACTCACAAGCAGCAATCCCCAGCACTAGAGGGACCTAAAAAAAAGTTCACTGCATAATCCTTCAGATCCTTCTGATAAACTGATTGATTATTAAATGTCCAAAGAGAAATACACAGCAGTGACAGGTATTTCCAAATACCTAGGGGGAAAAAAAACCTTAATATACAAGACAATTAAATACAGCAACCAGTGGAGAAGTTTCCTCCCAACTCTCACCAATTAGCTCTTCGTTTCTGTTCTGTAGCACAAAGATTCATAAACCTCTTGAAAGCATTTTAATCCTGCCTTATGTAACTATGGACTACTTGGTCATCCATATATAATCATTTAATCGTTTCTGAAGCCAAGCATCTCTCCTATTCAGTAATATTCAGAAGTGAGCTCTGAAGACAAATTCTACACGTGATGTAGTCAGTTACCATTTGCTGACTTTAAATTCCTTGAATTAAATATGAAAAATAGCTCTTCCAGCTTCAACAGAAAAGCATGCCTTCTCCATACGGGTCATTCTGTGTGCTGCTATTTGCCTCCCTTTCTGAAACAGCTCCAACTGAAAAACATGAACTCTTTGTTCTGATAACTCTCGCCACCAAATTCTGGTATTCATCAAAGCTCAAAATACGTAGCAACCCAAAACTTATTGAAACTCCTGTATTTGAGGTAGGGTCTGGTGCACTTCCGCTCCATTATTAAGCAGCTCCACAAAAGCATTGCTGTTTTTTAATGTTATCATAACAAAGTGTACTGCATAGAAAGACAAAAAAAAATGGAGGATATCATTGCACTGAAGTCATTACATAGCTTAATTTTTAACTCTTTTCAGGTAAAGGTGAGAAAATGTTCATTCCAAATGAGAGCCTTAATGATCACAGAATCCTTAGAGCTGGAACAGATCTCTGAGGGCCATCTAGTCCATCTATTCCTTCACTTAGGGCTCTGGTTCCCCCCCATACACACAATGCAGGTACCATAGTGACCATAGATTTCTCTTCACCTGCGGGAAAAGATGCTGGAGCAATGAAAACACCCAGAGCTCCTGCTCTGTAAGCACTTACCTCTTCGCAGACTTCTCGCACTGCAGCCACGCTGGGCTCCTCCTCGGGCTCCATGCCACCCCCAGGGACAATCCATCGATCAGGATGACGACTACTGCTAACCAGCAGCACCTGAGGAGAACAGAGCACAGCACATGCATAAACACAAAGCGATGCTGCTGCTTACAGCCCAGCTGAAGGAGGGAAATTGTCTTTGCATCTCGTGCACCTCCAAACGGACCAACCCAATGTGAGCTCTTGAAAACACTTTGCTTTTTCCAATATGGTCTCATTAGCCCACTGCATGATCAACAACACCAAGGCCCTCCAAATTATTTCAACCACTACCTTCTTGCTCCTCTTGAGCATTAAAGAATAAATTAAGCCTCCACATACCAAAACAACAATTTGCTATGTGATACAGCATCACAGTGTTTACACTGTGAGAGTCCAGTGCTGCCCTTGCTGTCACTACAGCCTCGACAGCTTGGGATATCTGTCATGCAACAACACAAGACAGCAGAGAAGCTGCTCAGCACCTCCACCCTTTGCAGCTCAACTCCATCAGGACCCTCAGCCTTGATTGCTTCTGCAGTTATGGTAACGGTACGTACAGGTCAGGTAACTGTCCACCAAAAAACTGATGTGAAATTGGGATTTGTAATTCCCTGTTTGCCTCTCCTTCTGCAGCAAACACCAAGGAGCTCAGCTCTGGGGCCAGCACTTGGTTACCTCAGGTTTGGATTAGGTTGTCCAAGAGACGTGGAAGCAAAATATAAGCTTGTAATTAACCACTTAAAAGCCCCACACGAAGGCTGCACAGACAGACTTTTTGTGGGAGTTTTTCCTTGAAATGTTTTATTCCAAAGTAATTCTGCTCTGCACAGTTGGGTTTAGCCTCATTATTAAACTTGCTTGTTGTCTTTTGGAAACAAGAAGCTAACTAACTACCTCAGCTGGATGAAAATCCCCCAAAGAAAACTGAGACACTGGGCTTATGAAACCTACTTGTGATACATCCATGAGCAGGGATGGAATCTAAAAACAAAACTAATACTGTTTTTCAGCTCTCTAAACAAAGCTCGTTCATTAGAGTCATCATGCTATACTTCATCATTTCACTGGCACAAAGCTCAGAGCCAAAGCAACTTGCTCCAGAAAGTTTCCAGCATACCAGTCCAATTAGGTTACAGGCCAGTCATAACTGTTTCAACCAGATACTCCGAAGTTAAACTGAGCAAGACACTAAAATCCAAGTCTTTACCATGTAAATGTTGACTTACAAGTGGAGCATGAGAAGATTTGCACTGATTTTCAGGAACCAACCTACCTACAGACCTCAAAATTATACTTCTGAGACAAAAACAAGCTCAAGAGTTTGGGGTTTCTGCAGTACTTTTCTATTTTGGAAGCTCTCACCTGCCAGCCAACCACCCTGCAAAGAGATTTTTTCCATTCTGGGGCCACCCAGGCAATGCCCAGGGATGAGGGCAGCCCATGGACTGGAACACACCAGGGTGTGAACGTGGATCATTTGCAGGCTCCAAACAGCAGCTCTCCAACCAGAAGCAGCAAAGCTTAAAGCAGAAACTGAAGAGGGGTCACAACGAACGTTTTGGCAACTGCTGGCCTAACCTTTCCTAAGTTTGGAACTCAGCTCTGTGTTCTCAAGTGTCAGAATGCCCCTGATCAGCAGCCTGCTGCAGGTCCTACCAAAGATGATGTCCCAAAGCCTCCTTTTCCTGCTTCAGTCCACGTCCTAATCCTGCAATACAGGAAGCAGCATCATTTATTGAGCTCCACACAGCCTGTCTATTGAATTGGAAAGATTAGAATACACCAGGAATGAATTAAGCTGAATGGGCTGCCTTAATTCTGCTGGATCATTTGGATCAAGGCAATGCTTTACCAGCACCAGTAGGAACTTTTTAGGTGTAAACAACAGTTTTAGTCAAAGTAAATTAACTTCAGCTGGTCTGGCAGTTGAACAAAATAATTCTATTTTCTAAATAGAATTAGCACGAACAACCTGTGCTGGGAAGGAAAAACCTGTCATTCTCACACTTTTATGTAATCAGACTATTTCCTGTTTAATAAAAAGGAAATCCCATCCAGAGGGAGCAGGAAGCGTGCCCTACAAGGTCACTCTTTTTGAACAGCTTTAAACAGGATATTGCTACCAATGAGCTCCCCCCAGACAAAGGGCCCATGTTCACAATGAGGGTGAGACATTGTCCTGTTCTAAAACTCACACATCTAAAAACTGCATTTCGAGGCACACAGTGCATTCAGTTACCCAGTGAAAAGGTCCCTCCAACTCAAACCCCCCGTTTTCACAAGGGGCCACAATCCACCTATCTCACCAGCTGCCCCAGAGCCAATAAAAACGCCATCTGCTGAATGCAGCAGCAGAGTGTTCAGGAGGAGCAGCCTGAATGCTGGCTCCAAGATAACAACTGCATTCCTCAGCAAAAACCTTTCCCCTACAGCTGGCTGGGGGAGCAGCATACCTGCAGATGGGGAGATAGCAGAGCAGAGGCTGAGCTCCTTCAACATAGAGATGGAACAGCATTTCTGCCATAACAAGGTCACAATCATTTTCCAACTTGCACTGAAAAGCTACGGACACAGGATGGGAACGACAGCTTTATTTTACAACATAGCACAATAAAAATGTTTGCTCATTTAGACTGAGCCTATTCCAGTACAATTCCACAAAAATATGATGTGTGCTGTTCTTCAAGGTCTATCTGATGGCTGTGTCCCTACCAGCTACGTTACTGCTTGTGGATCTACTGCATAAAATCATTTGTGTATTTCTATACCACTAAGAGATCTTAATGAAAACAGTCATAAGCAGAAAATGCTTATTTCTGAAATCTGCTTAAAAACAGAGAGGAAAGAACCAGATCTCTAGAACTAAAGCAGCCAAAGAAGAACGATGTTCTGCTCAGATGCTGCTTGGTCTCTCGTGCCCCTCACCCAGCACAAGATATCCTGGATCCATCGTTAATGAAAGACTTTGATAATTACCCATAGGCACCTGTGTAAGGATACAACATTTAGGTTTTGTCATTTGCTTTTGTCTGTTTGGTTTTGATTTAATTCAGACCAAAACACAAAGGCGGGTTTACAGTTGTGTTTTACTCCTGCTGTGTAATTGTTTTTAAGAGGGCTCCTGAGGCTCACATCCCACCAAGGATCACAGGGCAGTTTTTGGGGCCATGCCTCACAGCCTTTTTTAGAAAAGCATTTTCAGGTATTGTGTCACATAACCAAGTTCTGTTTTCTAGGATTTGGATGACAATTATGTCATTTCAAAGCAGGGAAATGAACAACACAAGCCACTTTGGCAACGCACAAAGCAGCCCAGAAGCAGCTCTCATCCACGATCAATGAAATGAGAGAAAGGTTGGAAAAATAAGCAAAAGTTTGAAGTCTACAGCAGGGGCTCCTACACAGCACAGCACTGATGGTAAGCAAGCTTCAAAGCAGCATGCAGACAAACAAACAGAAAGCTCAGCAGCAGCAGGGCAGAGGAAGGGCACTGAGATTCAAGGCTGCCCAGCACAGGGCTGGGAGCTCCATGGGAAAAGGGGAAGGAGGCTGCCACCAAGATAAGCCTGGGGGCCCCAAAACTCACTGCTGACCTTACAATGACTTCATTACACACAGATCACATCACTTCCCCCCCAAAATGACGGTGCTCTACAAAGCAAAAGCTGCAGGCACACACAGCAGAGCTGTATCTGAGTTAAGGGAGCAGATTGAGGCTCAGGTTCTCTCTTGCAATGCTCGATTTAAACAGCAGCCACCCATAAATAAAACAACAGTAGCTGCATTGTAACCAACGTGATTCCTAGAAAGAGGCTCCATAGAAGCATTACAGCAAAGACCAAAAGGGCTGCAGCATGATCAGAAGCTAACCTACGATGTTGTTAGAGCTGCCTACCTGCCAGCCTTCCAGGAAAAGCCTCCAAGCACACGTGCCAGCCATAGACAACCAGGCAGGAAAGGGGCAGCAAAGATGGCAAATAGGTGTTCCCAATCCCAACCCCATCCTGCTGCCAGAAACCAGCTTACAGCTGCTGAGACAGCCATCATATTTATTTCATGTTTTCTACCAATATAAAGTCACAAAACCAAGTGTTTGCAGAGTGTCTGAAGTAAAAACCTCCCTCCCCGATATTTAAAACTTGTTTCACACTTTAGCATCACTTATTAGAACACAGACTGCAAGGAACCAGCACATTTCAGGGAGATGGGTGGAGAAGAGGGCCGGCTTCAGTGTCTTTCTCCTGCACAATCTGTCTTTGTTTGAAAGTTTTAATTTAATGGGAGTGTCTGTATTCAGGATTTGGAGACTCTGGGCTGCTCAATCACCAGCCAGGACACTGTAGGATTACAAAGACTTTTTATGCTTTACCCAAAGTTAACAAATGCTCTCACAACCCCAATATATTTTTACTCAATGCTTTTATAACTGACAAAACTGGGATCCATCTGACTGCATCAAACCACCTCGAAGCACTACGGACACAGGGGGTGGCAAACTGTGCTCCTGAGGAGCCACGAGGCACCGCTCCCCATAGCAAAGCCTTGCAGAAACTCTTCCATTCAACTGGCAGAAACACAGCCTCAATCACACTACACCACAAACCACACTCTGTGCCAAACTACCAACACTGAACGGCCCAAAGAAGCATGCCAAAGAGCAAGGGCTTGCAGGACAGCTCCTTGTGACCTCTTGCTATTCAGGGCACGTTACAGAGCTAACACAACACACGGCAGCAAGAGCACAGCCTGTGGTTAGCAGGTCACAGCCAGCCCTGCACAATGCAATGCACAACCTCAACTGCAAGCCACCAAACAGCCTGGTCCTGACCATCACAGGAGTTCTGCTTTTCCTCAACAGCACACGGTTTCCTCAGATGAGCAATGTTTTGGGGCACAAACACCCATGTTTTGCTCTGTGGCATACTTTGATTTAACTTACGATGCCAGACCTGGAAAACAGAGGCAGCAAATGGATGTTTAGAAGCTGGAATCCAGGCTGGATGTGGCTCTGGGCAGCCTGGGCTGCTGGTTGGTGACACTGCACATAGCAGGGGGTTGAAACTGGATGATTATTG